AAAATAAGCAGTGCAAAATAACATAATGAAAAGTCAAACACAATGGGTGGGCCAAATGCACAAGATAAGATGATTAAACCCTGGATAAGATAGAAGTGGAAAAAGTGTATTTATGAGGGAGGAGCCCAAAAAGGACAAACAGTAGGGTTAGGCCTTCATTAAGGACAGAGGAAAGTTCATCATGCGGACAACAGTGTAGAAGGAACAGACAGAAATGAGATATATGGTCACTCTCCAAAGGCACATCGGAAGAGCCAAGTTTTTAGATCTTTCTTAAAGGCTGCTAGGGTGGGGGCTTGCCTAATATCACCAGGTAGCAAGTTCCAAAGGTGGGGGGCCACAGCAGAGAACACTCTCTCCCTCGTTTGAACAAGTCGTGCCTGTGATGGAGGAAGGGGCGAAAGGACTATGTTTTTGCCATAACCATTCTACTCAGAGGTAGTTCCTTTTGACCCGTGGATAAGTCATTGTGAGGGTTTTTAAAAACCTGGTTTTTGACTAAAATTTCTAGATTTATACATGAGTATATGCAACAGCTAAGGCTGTAATTCTAAGGACACATGTATCTCCAACAAGAGTTTGTCTACTTAGGATTAGAGTGTAAGAGTGTCATTCCTATCCGGTGGCGCAGTGGGTTAAACTTCTGTGCCGGCAGGACTGAAGACCAACAAGTCGCAGGTTCAAATTAGGGGAGAGTGCGGATGAGCTCCCTCTCTCAGCTCCAGCTCCTCATGCGGGGACATGAGAGAAGCCTCCCACAAGGATGGTAACACATCAAAACATCCGGGCGTCCCCTGGGCAACATCCTTGCAGACGGCCAATTCTCTCACACCAGAAGCAACTTGTCGCTTCTCAAGTCATTCCTGACACGACAAAAAAAATAATCCTATCTATTATTTTGATAATTTTATGTCCAGCTTTTCTTTCATTGAACTTCAGGGGACATACAGGGCTCTCCTTCTCCAGACTGCATCTTCACACTGTCTGTATGTGTTAAGCCAGGCTAAGAGAGAATGGAACAAGTATCACCTAGGACAGTGGTTCTCTCTGGGAGTTGTAGGCCAAAACACCTGGGACCCACAGATTGAGAACCACTGGCCTAAGACCTCATCAGAAGGCTGCCAGGTTCCATTTATATGCGTTGTGGAAACGGAGCCCCATGGAGAACATCACACCATGTAAGGGCACTTCTAGTGGGACTCTGTGGGGCTCCTCAGTGCATGGAAACAGAGCCTAGCAGCCTACCAGATTCCCACTGGAAGTGCCCTTATGTCATGTGATGTTCTCCATAGGGTTCAGTTTCCACAGCGCATATTAGCGGAGCCTAGCAGCCATCTGATGAGGTCTTAGGTGATGCTTGGACCATGTTTCCTGGTTCTAAGCAGCAGAAAACTAGAGAAAGTGGTGGAAAGGCACAGGAAAAATATGGGATGGCTAGCCACCCTAGAAGATGGGGAAAGATAGGAGGGAATGGGGTAAGACTGTTCCCTCTGCTTTCCCCAGTTCCATGATGACATCCTTAGTCAATTTCATGGCTCTAAGGCAGGGATTTTCAATCTGTGGGTCCCCAGATGTTTTGGCCTTCAACTCCCAGAATTCCTAACTGTTGGTAAACTGGCTGGGATTTCTGGGAGTTGTAGGCCAAAACACCTGAGAATCCCTGCTCTATGGGAACTTAAATCTGATTTTTTAAATCTCAACCCCACTCTGTGCTTGTTTGGTTCTGTGTGCAGTGGTCATTCTGCTAGATTTAGAATGGCCTAATATGTAGAAATCTGGCAGGTGATGCATTTCCTGGCAAAGAAGTGATGGGAAAAGTTTTGCCGGCTGTTGAAGGGAAAGCAGTGAAGCTCATAAAAAAGGGGAAAGAGAAAAAGAATGTGGCAAGCCTATTGGAAAAGGAGTGTTAAGGTTAATATTAATACATTTGCAGTTCCCGACTTACCTTGCTGGTGCTTATATCCATGAACCGCAATGTGGGCTTAGTTTGCTAAATTCAACTTTGAACCATAAGAGCTTATTATTACATCAAACTCCAGTCTTCTTGTCTTGCCTGCAGTTTGCTGTGGCAGCCTCCTTCCTGCTCCTTTGACCTTTCTTTTTAAATTTGTGGGGGATAAAAGCATGTTGAGAAGCGTATCTTTGTTCCTCCACCTATTTGTCTTTAGCAAAGTAGTGCTCTAGTTATTCTGCTTTATGGGGAAGGGTGAAAAGTGTTCACAGATCGGGAAAGAGCACGAGAACAATGGGAAATCTCTCATTCTTCTCTTTCCTTTCGCTGCAGAAGGGCTCAGGTTCAGTCCTCAAAATCTCTCATTATATTATCCAACAGGATTAGAAAAACCTCTGCCTGATACTTTGGAAAGTTCCTGATAGATAGTCAGAGAAACCTGGGATCTGTTTAAATAAGTATCAGTGGTTCAAGTGTGATTTTTTTGCCACTGAAAGGGACTAAACATCCCCCATTTTAAAGGCAAAAGTCAAGCCAATTTTGTGCATTGTTAAACCATCTGCACATTTAATTCTTCTGTTGATTATTCCCCAAAGAATAAAGTTATATAAATATTATAATTTAAGCAGACATTTGTTTAGAGAACAAAACTATCTGGCTGCAGAATTAAGTGGAATCTAGCTCTGTAGCTCTAGTAATTCTGCTTCTCTTTAATTGTGTTCATCAACCTTTCAACCAGCCAAGGTAGATGTGCAACAGGTGAACATGATCATGGTTTGAAAGCTTCACCTAATATTTTCTGCTTATCCAACATAGAAGAGTTATGGGGTTTAATAGAGCCGGAAAGTACTGCAAGAGCCATCTAGTTCAGTGGTTCTCAACCTGTGGGTCCCCAGGTGTTTTGGTCTACAATTTTCAGAAATCCCAGCCAGTTTACCAGCTGTTAGGATTTCTGGGAGTTGAAGGCCAAAACATGTGGGGACGCACAGGTTGAGAACCACTGATCTAGTCCAACTCCCTACCATGTAGATATGTATGTACAATTAAAGACCTCCAAAAAGATGGCCATCTAATTCCTGTTTTAAGACTTACAAGGAAAGTGAGCTCACCACACTCTGAGCAAGTATGAATAATAGCTCTTAGATTTAGTAGGTTCTTTTTGACATTCAGGCAGAATCTCTTTTGTCATTTGAATCTGTTGGTTTATGTCCTGGTCTTTGGGGCAACAAAAAACAAGCTTGTGCCATCCTGTACTTGACCTCTCTTCACGTATTTAAAGGTGACTATTCCAACACTTGTAATCTCTTCTCCAAGCTAAATATATCCAGCTCCCTAAACCATTCCTCCTGGGGCTTTGCTTCCAGGCCTTCTACTTTCTAGGCTTTGGCTTCCAGATCATTACCTCCTCTAATAGAATCATAGAATCATAGAATCAAAGAGTTGGAAGAGACCTCATGGGCCATCCTTTCCAATCCCCTGCCAAGAAGCAGGAATATTGCATTCAAATCACCCCTGACAGATGGCCATCCAGCCTCTGTTTAAAAGCTTCCAAAGAAGGAACCTCCACCACACTCCGGGGCAGAGAGTTCCACTGCTGAACGGCTCTCACAGTCAGGAAGTTCTTCCTCATGTTCAGATGGAATCTTCTCTCACTAATCTTCTCTCACTAATAAGACCAGAATGGTATTTTGCTTTTCTATGATTTGCACTACAAGATAGATCTCTATCATCTATTTCATTTCTATCTTTATGATTTCTATCTCACTAAATTTCCAGAATTGCCCTGTAAATTCAAGATACCTTGCACAATATTTTGGACTTGGGTGCTTATTTATTTATCGTATCAGAAGCAAATTGAGAGTACGGTTGTAATGTATCTAAAAACACAAACAAAGTTTAAAAAATGCCATTATACTAAATGTCCTTTGACCATAGCTGGCCACTTGGAGTGCCTCTGGTGTTGCTTTAAGAAGGTCCTCCATTGTGCATGTGGCAGGGCCCAGACTGCATTGTAATAGGCTCTTTTGCACACTCGCATGTTGTGGACTCCTCTTTGTAGCCCCATTTCTTAAGGTTGGCTCTGCATCTCGTGATGCCAGAGCACAGTCTGTTCAGTGCCTTCCAAGTCACCCAGTCTTTTGTGTGCCCAGGAGGGAATCTCTCATTTTGTATCAACCATGGATTGAAGTTGCAGGTTTTAGCCTCCCATTTTTGGACTCTTGCTTGCTGAGGTGTTCCTTTGAGTATCTTTGTAGATCTTAGAAAGATATTTCTTGATTTAAGGCAATGGCGAGCTGATATCCGAACAGGGGATGGGCCAGAGAGGTCACTGCCTTAGATGCTGATTACAAAGCATGTATATGGTATTCCTATTGTGATGTGAATACATTTGTATTGTTTCATGCTTGTATCCTTAAAGACAACCCCCTCCCTCCAACGTAATGTGGTGCATACACTCTCTAATAATAATGATTCATATTATTTTTGCCAAGGAAAAATTTACTTCCCTGCCACCTCTTCTGAAAATTTGTCCACTTAATAAGAAAGGGTTAAATTCCAAATCTTGATATATTCAAAGTGCTGTGCTTTCCCAGTGAACTAAGCTGAATTAGGCTTTCCAAGATAATATGTTCAGGATAAAGCTTTAGATCTTTCTCCCCGGTCCCTAGCAAACCTGGCCAAGATTATTTATTTGGACTTCAACTCTCAGAATCCCGCACTGGTACGACTCATGATCATGTTGACTGTGGGATTTTGAGACTTCTAGTCTAAACAAGAACCTATTCCTCGCCTACCATTCCTTCCTGTATTTCCCATAAATGAGGAACAGATGACGTGAGAGAGGTTGAGCTATATAACATATTTGGGATTTTCCCTCAGGTATATCATAACCATTCATACATATTTGCAGTTAAACAAATAAGCATTTGAACATTAACATTTCCCATTAAAATAGTCTGCATTTTAATTTCCTTCTCCTCTAAGACCATCATCTTGACTAAAGAGAATAAAGGATTTTATCAGTCTTCTTGTTGGTGAGGTGAGCAACTCAGAGCTTAACATATTCTCTCAGAAGCGTTTCCAGTTTATGACTGAGCAGAACATTGCCTTTCACCTTCACTTTGCCAACCAGGAAAGCCTTCTGTGGCTTCATCTTACCCAGAGCAAGCTCCATGAAGTCATGGTCAGAGAGAACAAACACAGTGTTGGCAGGCTTGCGAGATGCTCCTTGGTAGACCTCACCAGAGCCCGTCTTCAGATCTAGAGTCCACTGTGCCACTATAGTCTCTCCACATACAATGTCCCACTGGAAGACAGCATTCATCTTTTTGACAAGTTGACTGCCAACTTCCTTGATACGGCGACCAAGTTCTTCAAATATTAGGTCACTCTGGAGTCCAGCGGCTTTTGTGGAAGGATTTTTAGAAGCAGACGTGAGTGTCACATACAAATCTGAGTCCCCTTCCTCACGCATGTTGATCTTTGTCTGAAGACAATCTTTCTTTTTTCTTTTCCACATCTTCATCTGTAGATTTTTGGAAAATTAATTACAGCAGGGGAAGTTTGTATATTCCAGATTTATCTCCCTGTGGATGCTCTAGCTTGTATGTCTTGCTTAAGTGTTTTGGTTTCACAAACTGTTTATAGTTGTCAAATCATTGTTGGATGGGCACATTGTGAAATCAGAGGTGACAGCCAGTTAGCATCAACTTTTAGGTAATTTGCATACTGTATTCTCATTGGTGAATATACTCTTCAGTAGTGTTTGAGATTTCATAAATTTAAATATGCTGTATCACACTTTACATTTACTTAAAAAATAAAAAATAGAGCTCCTGACTGTGGTATTCCATTATACAGTTTTCTGCTTGAAGATCTTATCCCATTCCTTCATAGCGGCCCTTGCAAGTGTTTGACTTCACTTTGATTAATGAGTGAGTTAAGGAACAGAAAATCTTTTAAGGATTTCAGTGTCTTTCTCACCCACTTAAAGTTATATGAATCTTCTGTGGTCATTACTTTTGTTTCCTTAGTCTTCAGCTCTCACTCTGGTTGTTTGCAGAAGCTGGACAGGGAAGAAAGCTATCTGGGGGAAAACTCTGCTTAATTTAAATGTGATGATGGGAAAGTGTTTAATGGACTGGTAAAAAGACAAATAAATGGATGAAAGAAGAAATCGAGCCTGAAATTTCACTAGAAGCCTAACTAAACTGAGGCTGTAATATATTGGACCCATCATGAGTTAACGTGAATCCTTGGAAAACAATACTGCTTGGTAAAGTTGAAGGCAGTAAGAGAAGAGGACAGCATTACAGATGGATGGATCGCAGCAAGAAACCAAGGTTCTGGGTATGCTACAAGTTAGTTGGGCCGAGAGGTGTCTTATTCATAGTCAAAGGCTGAAGCCAACTTGATGGCACTGGACAACATAACTCTGATGTGTTAGCTTCCAGTTAAATAATTGCTGTATAAAGCTATGGGTGGGCAAATTTGTTATTTTATTTCTTTACAGTATTTATATTCCACCCTTCTCACCCTGCAGGGGACTCAGGGCAGATCACAGAACATATATACGGCAAACATTAAATGCTGATTATGCAATGACAAGACAGGTAACAGATAGAGGTATATAGTATAGGCTTTTCCATATCTTTCAGCATCTTTGGAGACTGTGCTTGGTTCCACCCACAGGGGGGTGCTGTCGCTCCATCTCCTTTCCAAAGAGCTTTCTTTGTTCATAAACTTCCTCCTTTTTTCTGATCAAAACACCGTGCCTAAAATACTTTCCCGCTTAAGGTTCCTATTTATCTACTCACATTTATTTCGAACTGCTAGGTTGGCAGAAGTTGGGCTAAAAGTTCAGGTGCGCACCCTGACCCAGGCTTCAAACTGGCAAGATTGCAGCTTGGAGATTAACCTGCTGTGCTAAAGCCTGGCCCTTCCACTCCTAAATTCCTCCCCTAAATTCCTCCCAGAAGGAAACAGATGTGAGTTCCCAGATATTGGTTTGCTCTAAATGGAGTGCCTGGTGTGTGAGAATGACAGTATTGCTATGTGCTGAGCTCAGTGAGGCTTGAGTCATACTGCTGCATTCACACAGTGAAAAGGTACCTTTGTATTAAAGAAATACTTCGTGAAGGCATGGCTGGGAGAGCTGTATTTACATAGTTGAGTGTTGCAATAAGGCAGGATTGGCAACTCAAGGAGCTGTCTGTGTAGACTAGTGGTTCCCAATCTTTTTTTGACCAGGGGCCACTTGACCAGGGACCACTTGACCACGAACTACTCTCCAGTATTAGTGCCAAAAGGGTTATGAATCAGTTTTTTGTCAACTTTATATTTGATTTGGTTATTTAGGAGGTGCTGATTCAGAAAATTGCATTGGACAGACCACATCAGCCCTAGTTTCTGATACAGAACATATGCCATCCAATAGTCGCCATCTGCTCACCCACAGAAAACCATATTTAATAAGTCTCGGCACTATAAGACAGCTTCGTGAAACCAGGTGCTCATGTTGCAATGGTGTAGTAATGGTGAGGCCGTGGATCATATTTCAGTTCTTGTGGACCACTGGTGGTCCACGAACCACAGGTTGGGAAACACTGGTGTAGACCTTAAGGTTTCCTGAATTCTGCTCACAATGACCAGCTTGACAAAAATGCAACATATGCAAATTTGGACAGAAAAGTATGTGTGTATGTGGATTTTTGCATTCACTGTTCCAAAGGCTCCATCCACAAACAAGTAAATAACACTCCTGAAAGTATGCTAAGTCACTCTCAGTTTTGGAAAATGGCAGCAACACTGCTCACATAGTCATGAAGATCCCTCAAACAGTCCCCTGATGCTCACCCTTACAAAGGTTCACTTAGCAGAAGGTGTTGGGCATTATGGTGAAGATTTGTGCCACTGATATTGGGACTAGCATCCAAGCTGATCTGGGGTTCACGCCTTCCACTGAGGTTTGGAATATGCTGCCACTTCTAAATAATAGCCTAGAAACTGCTGACAGTAATGTAAACAGTGTGTTGGCAAATCTCTGAGCCTGTTTAAAAGAGCTGCTTTAAAAGCAGCTTGCAGAACAGTGCTGAGGGACTAGAGTTCTGAAAAAAATCCCAGTCTCATGACTCAACTGCTTTTATGAATTTTAGTCAGTACTTTATATTACTTGCAGACAACAGCAATAAAAAAGAGAATGGACTCCAAGATTTTTTAAAGCAATCACACATTTGATGTGTATAACGAACAAATGTGCAATTGATGGGGACTAGTAGACCGGGGGAACTTGAAGAGCTGCCCCCATAGTCCCCAAAACCAAAAGTGCAGTGCATCTTATTTAAACAAAATGGCTGAGATCCTGCATTGCGATCACATAATGTAAACCATTGCAGACAGGACTGAACTTTGGTAATATTGGCTATTTTCTTGCAAATGGCAAAATTATGCAACCAACTGAATGTGCCACTGGAGGCACAACCATTGAGCACCTTAATGAATCCATGGATTGGTCAACTGAATAAGCAAACAAGGCAAGCAGTGGCATCACAAGCGTATTTCTTCCACAAACTTGAACTGAAAGCAGATGTTCCACATCAGACAAAAATACTCAACTGCCTTTGTAATGGAAATTATGCATGAGTAAGACACCAACAGTATTCCGGCCTTTGGATTAAAATATATTCAACCTCGTAGATGACCTCTTCCCATGGCATGTAGCTGATTGGACCTTTAGCATGTATGACACCCTGTAAAACTACAATGGGGTCTTAAATGGCTTGTTTTTTCGCCTAAGATACTGGAAGTCATGAGACAAAAAATCTGGTTTAAAAACCCCTCAAAGAATAGACTTGCCCTTTGAGCAATACCAAACCGCATATTTGGCAAAGCCCATAACATACAAATGCTTCCGCCAGCTTGTGGAAACTTGACTAGACAAAGCTGAAATTATCCACAGTTTTCCAGAAGAACACAGCTTTTTGCAACCTGCTGCCTCTATTTTCTTTACACAACATCTGCTTGGTAAGACCAGATGGCCTTTGTTGGCTCGTACAAAAATGTCACCAACACAGAATGCAAGAGGACTGTTGCTAACTCTCAAGACCAAACAATACGTTAGTAAGGGTGGACAACTGTGGTCCTCCACTGGTTATTGGATTGCAGTTGCTGGAGGGACACAACAGCTGGAGGGACACAACTGCCCACTTTTGCATTACACATATTGTGTGTGGCTCTGGTTCTTTTCAAAGAGGAAAAATGCTTGCAGAGGGAGAATACTGGAAGATAAGAATTGACAACTGGTAAGAGTGTTTGCTTCAATCCACTCATGCTGCAGCTTTCATCTTGACAGGAAATGCAAGAGGGAAGGGACTGTGAGTGTGTGGTCTATAACTTATCAGTGTGTGGTCTATAACTTGGCTATCTGTGGCCAGCACATGGCAGGTTGAATATTCCTCATGGAAGAAATGTGGAAGCTTTTTAGGAAAAGGTGACTGTGCCTTCCTCATAACTAATTTTAATGTTGCTATTTGTTCTAACCAAATCCAATGGATTTCTTGATTAAAAAAATAGGCAATCAACAGAAGAGATATACTCAGATGGCATACTTTATTAGCAAAGTTTTCCCTTTTTTGAAAAAGGTTAAAAGACACATACAAATACACACTTTCCACAGAATAAATACATGGCAGTTCAATGAAACTCACTATGCATGGACGCCCCTTCTCCCCAACCTCCTGAAATTGATTATTTTTCATGAATTGTACAGTCTGACACACAAATACACACACACAATACACAGCCAAAGCACACACAGTTTGTACAGAGCTATAAGAAAAATGAAATCATATTGATGGGATCAAAATATAAGCTTAGTCTTCAAACCTGAAGTGAAAATTGGAGGGAAAAATATATATCAAAAAGGATCATATGATCCATTACAATAGTGCTGCTTACAACCTGCATAGAAAAACAACCTTCATTCTTCAGTCAACAATAGTGGCCCACTTCTTATATTACGCTAGTAGTGTGAGAGCTGTTGCAGCAGTCCTTCCCTGATCACGAAGATAAGACAAGAACCCCATGAGTGGGGAGCCATGAAGAGGTTCCTACCAAATTAGTGGTGTTTGCCTTAAGGAAAGGCAGGGAACAGCTATAGGAGAGGGACACCTTCAACATGCCCCAGTCCTTCACTTATGTCTTGTTGGGGTAGAAAATGGAAACACTGCAGTGATTTCCATCTCACTAGAATAATAGCAGAAAAGGGACCTCATGAAACCAGACAAAAACTGATTATGTTATGGTTATGGCTGCACATACATGTAGTCGTGGTGTTTACTGTGGCATCAGTAATATCTGCATCTATAAAATGGGGACTGGCAAATTTTGAAGAGAAAACGTGTGGCTGCCAGAATGTATCCCATCCACCCCTAGTGGAAAATTATGCTGAATTGTGGAGGCATTCCATTTGTCCCCAAAACAGCACGGGATTATGATCAATCCTCTTCCTTAAAATATGTAGTACAAACGAATGAATCCCAGCCTCCCTCCAGAAAACTGACATGGGCAAGGAGCTGGGTTTACATATGCTTCCATGGTGCTGGGCACTCTTCTACCTCATCCCCTGCTTCCCTCTCTTGCAAGCTGCCAGTGGATTAATTCTTCTTATTGGGGTGAGGGGAAGAGTAAGGGGATTTTTCATGGTGAAAGCATTTGAAGACTCTGCTAAGAACCACCCAGAATGGATGATGGGTCTCCACCCCACATATATGGGACTTAACCATACACATGTGGCAGCCACACTGAAACAATCACAGAAATGAAACAATCACAGAAATGATCTAAAACAACATCAAAAACGTAATCTACCACCTCCACTATAAAGCATATTAGCAATGGAAACAGATAACATTCCTTTGGTTGTTTTTGAATACAGCATGATGCAGACCGTAACTTCTTATTTCTTGATTCCAAGTCTCTTTCTGACTCTTTTTTTTTCATATAGGAACTGGGTGTCATCCACTAATGAGTACAGAAGGTCACCAGCAGCCTCTGTTAAAATAATATGGGATGGGGTAAGAGAACTATTACATGACACAGGGGGGAAAAGCTCACATCAATTCTTTGAAACTGGCATTGGTTTTAATGATGACCTAAATCTCCCTTAAACCAACAGCAACAATAACCAGCATTTTAAATGTTAGTTTAATCTCTGTAAATCATTTGAAATTTCTATGTTCATCTTTCACAATCAGCCCAAGATTTCAGCAGTCTTTGAGGGCTTGAGCCACATTTTTTTCTGAGAACACATCAGAAAGAGCCAGATTTTTTCCTCAAGCAGCTTCCACAACAATGAGCATGCACTGCCTTTGAATCTATCATGGTTGAGAATGGTTACTCAAGTTTGTAGAAAAGAATGCTACTGGAACATGGCCATACAACCCAAAAAAAAAAAACTCACAGCAACCCAGTGATTCCAGCCATTAGAGTAGGGGTCCTCAAAGTTTTTAAGCAGAGGGTCAGGTCACAGTCCCTCAAACTATTGGAGGACCGGATATTATTTGGAAAAAAATATGAATGAATTCCAATGCACACTGCACATATCTTATTTGTAGTACAAAAATACTTAAAAAAAACAATACAATAATTAAAATGAAGAACAATTTTAACAAATATGAACTTATTAGTATTTCAATGGGAAGTGTGGGCCTGCTTTTGGCTGATGAGATAGGATTGTTGTTGTGTGCTTTCAAGTCATTTTAGATTTAGGTTCACCCTGAGCAAGGGCCGGGTATATGACCTTGGAGGGCCGTATCTGGCCCTCGGGCCTTAGTATGAGGACCCCTGCATTAAAGCCTTCAAAAAATAATTTTGCATTCCTATCCCTGAAAACCTATTCTCTAAAATATATGGATTATGACTGAAGTGATGCTCCTAGAATCTCTATATTTTCAAGTTTTTACTCAATATTTCTATTGGGAATGGCAAGCCTTCTCTACAAGCAGCAACTGGCCTTTTCTTAAAAAACCTCCTGAATCAGATTTAAGATGGCTGTACTCTTCACTTACTGAAAGCTTTGCTGCACACAAAGGAGCTTTCCTTTCCCCAAGTCAACATGCTTAGGATTGTACTCTTCATGTTAGTTTAATTTTCACAGCAACATAAGCATACATGATCTAACACAAAGTTTCAGAAATAAGATCCCTGCCTCCTAGCAATGTACAGCCTAAATTGAACAAAGAGGAAGTAAACAGAGAGCTAGGAGTGGCTGTCAAAGAGTAATAGGGTTCAAATTTTGGTTACAATTGGGAATGATGCATAAGGAATTAGGCCTTACACAAATTAAAGAAATGAGGAGAGATTGAAGGAAGTAGAAGACCTGGTAGCACATATATGTTCTGGGAGGGGTATCCTGGGCAGTGGAGACAGTAAGGAAAAAAAGATAGAAAACACCTTGACAGTGGTACAATTTGAAGAGTAGAAATCACTTTTGACATGAGAAACGAAAGTCAATATGGATAAGGAAAAAAAGAAAATGGGAAAACAAATGTGCATGTGACAAGAGAAGTGATGGGCAGCCCGTAAAAGATATGAAAAAGAGAATCACATACTTTGAGACAAAAGCAAGCAGAGAGATTTTGGATAAAAAAAATGTCTGACATCTCTCAGGGGAAGGAGGCTGCCAAAAGTCAAGGTTTGAGATGAACAGAGCATGAATTAGTCAAGACGACGGAGATAGTACAGGGAGAAATAGATGACTTTGACAAAGGACTGAATGTAGAAAGCAGAACGAGGAAGTCTCATGTAAAGCAAAGGCTATATGCCTGGTTAGCATAATGAATGGTTATGCTATCAGTGTACAAAAAGAGGAAAGCTTGGATGAGAAAATTGATCTTGAATATGATTGCCCTATAGACTCATGTATTAATAATCTAGAAATGTACGGCAAAAAGTCAGTCCCAAAAACCTGAGTTAACTTACTCACAAATCAATGTGAATACTGTATCTCTAATATAAAAAAAAAACTGTCACCTTCTCTGAATCGAGTGGAGAAAGGCAAGAGAATAAACACGATACAGACTATTAATCTATTTTCGTGTTCATCCCAGGAAAGAGTACAGAAAAAGAACAGCAGAGGAGCAAGATCAGAACCCTGGGGGACCCAACAAAGAAAAGTGATTATATCCCTTTAGAAAAGGAACAATCTGACAAGAAAGGGAAAAACTGGAAACCTAAAGCAAGAAGCAACTGAATCAAATGCAGAAGATATCAGGGTGGATGTCACAAAAGCAATCTTTGTAATATAGTTAAGAGAAAACCATCCATGATGGTAAGGTTGCGTTATTTTGTTATATTGCACTTGGAGTGCCTTGTAAGCCGCCCCAAGTCCCTTTTGGGAGATGGTGGTGGGATATAAATAAAATGTATTATTGTTGTTGTTGTTATTATTATTATTATTATTATTATTATTATTATTATTATTAATTAGACAATAGCAACTAATTTGAATTAAAAAATGGATCCGAAAGACTAAAACTCAAGATGATGGGAAATATGCATTACAGACTCTTCCAAAGGTTCTTTAAAAAAAGAAAGGGGGATTCTAGGGCATGCTTTCATTGATTAGTTAAGATGGCAGGGAGGGACAGTCCGATGACACAAAGACAGTTGATGGATAACAGAAGAGGAAATGGTAACCAGAACTGAGTTTCTATCCAGTTGGGATCAAAGAGCATGTGGAACAGTTAGAAGACATCACTAGAGTGATCACAGAGAAACGAACGAACAAACGAAAAAAAGAAAGAAAGAAAGAAAGAATGGCAGACAGAAAGATTGAGAGAGGTGGGGAGGGATGTGGGAAGGAATTTAGAAAACTCCAGTTTCAGGCACCACATACATAATTGAAGCTTGTCAAACCTCAAAAAACTGAGTGGGGACTCTGTATAGTCTGCCATTATTTTTTTCACCTGACAAATAATTGTTGCAGCTCCTTTTTTACTCAAGATATAAATCTTTTTCAGTATTCAAGTTTTAAAAGTTTGTCTCAAAGCCACCCCCTCTTAATAACAATGAGCCAGGAGAAACAAAATATGCGCTTGTGGCTGCTCAGTTCCTGCACTGAAAAAAAGAAACAATTACCAACCTTGGATACAGAGTTCCCAAACAGCTACCACCTTAGTTTGAACTTTCCCTTTTTGGGGAAGGTTGCTGAATGAGGAGTAGCCAGTCTACATCAAGCACACCTGGATTCTATCAGCTTTCTGGACTCCCGCCAGCCTGGCTTATTGCCTGGGCATGGCACAAAATTTTTCTTGTGGCTTTGGTCAACCATCTCCACCTAGAGACAGACTGGAATAAGTACAGCCTAAAAGATGCTGTTTTCGTGTCCACTAAAACCATTGTGCACAACAGAATTGTAATTTGACTGTTCTGTAGGATCACACTATTCTCCTCGTGGCTTGTATGGCAGTCCCTGGTAGTAGTAATGACTGCCAGTGCCTAGCATTTTCACTCTTTACCAGAAGAAAAGTTTTATGCAAAGTTCTATCCTGATACCCCTCTTTCTCACCTCTTTCAATTTGGAGTCCTCATTTCTTTTGTGGGTGACATATTCCTATTATTCTAACCACAACTCCAGAATGGCCAGAGGAGTAACAGAAGCTCCCTTTTGATAGAACTGCTGGCATTAAAGCAGTGGTTCTCAACCTTCCTAATGCCTCGACTCCTTAATACAGTTCCTCATGTTGTGGTGACCCCCAACCATAAAATTATTTTCGTTGCTACTTTATAACTGTAATTTTGCTACTGTTATGAATCGTAATGTAAATATCCGATATGCAAGATGTATTTTCTTTCACTGGACGAAATTTGGCACAAATATTTGAATTGGATATTTTTATATTTGATTGGATATAAAAATATCCAAAATACAAGAGTTTGAATTTCATAGTTGTCATATTTAATCCTGGTCATATTTTTCAATATCACATCACAAACTGCACACCTTCAAATTCTTTATGCCATGTAAATACTGAACATGCAAGATGGGATCTGCTTTTATTTTTTATGAAAATAAAAATAGATCTCATTTACAGATTGAAAAGATGGATGGTGAATTTTTAAAGGTTTGTAGATGACTGATTTAATCTAGTATGCTGTTTCCAAAAGTAGACAAGTATGCACTTCCAGTTGGCTGTTTCTCAACAGGGATTCAAAACGGGATGGCTCTAGTTATTGAAGTCAAAACATAGATACTAATAAATCAATCGTACAGTAATCTGTGTCACCATTTTTAAAGTCATTTAAGTGAGTGGCTATCGCTATATCCTGTAGCAACAAAATCCATAAACCAATGATACCGTCTATGAAGTATTTTATTTTGTTTATCTTGAATCTTATGCTGAAGAAGCTATTGAACCAGCACTACAATGGATGGCCTATCTAATCATAGCTCCACTTTGAATTCATGACTGTAGAAGGACAAACTGGATTTACATAGAGGTATTAGTGGTATTTATAAATGTCATCCATTTCATCTCTGCCACTCATAAAATCTACCGTAATTAACACTTTAAGAAGGGTATACTGTATATGCATTTCAGCATAGTATTATTTATTTTGGCCCCTGAGGACTCTCCGTTCAACATTTTCAGTAACCTTCTCTCCTTTCCTACATTACCAAATGAGTACCTTCTTTTCCTCATCCCCTTGTTTCAAATTTTAGGGTCTTACTAATGATGGCTTAAAATAAATTCTCTGGATTCATTATACTTCCATTGCCCAGCATGATAGGTTTTAAGGCCTCCCAGTCAGGAGGTGAGGAAGCCAAAGCAATTTGCAAAATGAACACATGGAAAGCAGCTGGACTGAATGGCTTCCCTACAGGTTTTTATGAAACCATCACTGAACTCCATTACAAAGATTGTGCAAAACATTCAGTGAGTCATTTCAAGAGGGCAGCCTCACCCCTGGAACAACCAAAAATAGTCTCAGGCCACACAGCAAAGTCAGAAGGAACGACCTGTCAGATTGCTCCATCATGCGGCCAAATCACTATTCTACCCACAAGAAAGTTAATTGATTCTATGATTCTTCCTAGGTGAAAAAGAAGGGATTCAGCATTCCAATAGGACAATTAGCTGCCAACTATTGTAATGTATACACTACTGATTAAGAGCTAGGGGGTAAATTCTGCTTTAGACCTCATGCTTTGATATATATTCATGCCTAAAATGACCTCATGTACAAATTCAAGGTTAGGTTTTGGGGCCAAAATAATGAATATGACCATGGATAAACTGAAGGTCATTCTGTGGAGAGTAGAAAGTACTAATGCGGCCATAAGCAGAGCCATGGTAGAGAGAGTAGAAAGGGGTTCGTTCTTCTTTTAGTTTCTCCTGGGACAGACTAGGCTCTTGTCTTTTGTCACTCTATTCAGAAAAGAGAATATTTCCTGTGGATAAGTTAAACCCAGTGATCTGGGGTTGCTCTTTTGATTAAAAATTCTAGATGTATACATGACTATATCGAGTATTTCTATTAAAGGGGAAAATATACAAAAGCATAAGGCCAACATACTTCATATACACAGTGGCTTGGTTTAGATAACTCCACCATAAAGATGAGAAGTTACATGTGGTTTTTTCTTCTCTTCCATATGTGGCTTCCCTGCTTAGTCACAAAGGGCTGTGATATCATTTTCATGGTCACCCCCCAAAAAATCCTTAAGACTGCAAGAGAATCGAGCAAAGCTTGAAAAATTCCAATACAAATGCCTTTCAAATTACCCTTCAAAAGATAACTAGACAGTGTTGCTTATTTCCTTACTTTCTGGATCATCCAGCCCTCTCAAGAAGAAGACAAAATATCTAAATAAATCATATTTGCTAAACTCAATGTTCAGGGTATGTGAATTCATGAATGTTTAGAGTGGTTCAGGATAAAAAAAGGAATGGCACAGAGGAAGAAATGTGATAACAGGCTCTGCAACAATATGATGATGATGAAAAAGCAAAAAAGAGGTTTAAGCATAGATGAAGTGAAAGGTAAACTATTAAAATGAATGAAAGGTTCAAGAAGATGTGGAAACTGACGGGGATACAAGGGCTTAAGTGAAAGGATTTAGGGTTTTGGAATGCCTGTATTTGCATATGAGTGCATAATGAGGTATCGGAGATAAGACTCAAGTCTAAACATGTCATTCATTTATGTTTTATATATACCTCACACACATAGACTGAAGGTAATTTTATATACAATATGTGCAACATCTGTGAACACTGAGCCATCAGAAAGAAAAGGCATCACTATCTCGGCCAACAATGTGGACAATATTAGATTTTGGATTCCAAAGTTTTGAATAAGCAATGCTCAACCTGTATCAGCAATGTGTATGAAAGATGAGCAAAGATACACTAAATTGATGGAAAGAAAACATACAGGATGAAGAACTGACCAGACTACATATGGAAGATTTTAGTCTTATGTGGACTGTCTGCCACTACCTCTAACACACACACATAAATGTTTTTAATGGCACAAAGCAACAGTAACACACTCTGGTTCTTTTAAGACATTCAGCATTTCTGTTCTATATTTCTCTGATGATATGGTTTTGTTTGCAAATGTAAGAAGCTCTTTTGTGGAAGAATGAGGAAGGCTCATTTAGTCAGGCATTGTGATGTAACATGGTGACCATATAACGTTCTAAGTGGAAACAGAGAATCCAGAAAATTGCAAAAAATGGCAACATGGATTTGCATATGAAAGCAGACTAGCTGGCAAAAGCAGAAAGGCGAGGAATGGTGGAAAACGGTGACACAGCTGAGAAATAATTGGGGAAGATAGGAAAGAAAAAGAGTAAGCAGGGTAAGGAATTGTTTTATATTTACTGGGAATGAAAGCAGATGACAGTATAGTGGAGATTTGTAATCAGGAACTGTATATGAATATGTTATGTAAAGAACTTGAATATTGCCCTGCTATTTATTATACATCATTATTAAATGTCTGTGTAGGAATGGAGGTTAAGAATAATATGTAATATGACCTCCTTATCCATAGATTTGATAGCTTCACTTAGCCATGTTTCAAAAAAACATTCCTCCTGAAAAGTGTGAGCCTCTCTAGATCCTCCAGAACATTCTAGCCCAAATATATTCAAAACATTAGCTTCGCTATTATCCTGTTTAAGTTATCTTTGGGTATGTGCATCTTGGAATATACATTGTCTCATGGGTATGGGATACTGTACAGTACATATACTAATATATTATCTGCACTACAGTATTTGTTTTTATCAGATAATTTCTGCTCATTACCCATTAGAATATGTATATGTATCTCAATCATGTAAATTAACTCAATACTTTTTATATACTTATATTTTTTATGTTCTCATATTTGAGCCACAAGAAGAGGTAGGTAAGAAATAGCAATAACAACAACAACAACAATAATATTATTATTAGTAGTAGTAGTAGTAGTATTAATATTAACAATAACAATAAGTGGAGAAATGTGAGGATCCTGTTGACAATGTTCTCTCAAAGGAAAAAGTTTGAAGGTGGTTGCCCATTGGTGGAAAGAGACTCGGTGACTATTCCTGAAGGGAAACTGAGTAAGTTGTAAGATTAGTAATTACAGGGTCAGAGTTAGACTATCTCTGAGCTCAGCAATTTTCAAATTCTAAATAGTCCACCAGTCGCCTAATCCATCAGCTTGCCTTCCCCAGTTTAGACAAGTCAATCAACATACAGATAAGCATTTTAACAACAGAAGGTGGTACAAATTGGTGATTTGTGAATTCCATTTCATTTTGTACTGAAGCATGATCAGATTGTGCCCTGGCTATGAATTAGAAAGAAAAGCCCATACCTGAACTTGCTTTTTATAAGCTAAGGCTCCCTTTCTGAAGAAACATCTCCTTCAGCCCCACTACTTGCACTGGGGTCATTTTTACTTCTAGGAACGTTCCTTTCTCTACTTGATTCAGAGGGCACCTTCACTCTCGTCTTCTCTTTTCTCTGTTGCTGTTTCTCAAGTTTTGACAACTGTTGCAAAAGAGAGAATTTCATAAATACACACAAAATACAGAAGCATAACAACAACACTAAGGTATCGTACAGCAATACACAAAGCATCTGGCCTTTATCCTAATGACTGGCAATTATATTGATAGATGTCAATATATCTTAGGAAGCTTGTATACTAATTTTCAACTACAAATCATATGTAGCTACCCAATTTTGATGCATGTTACAGTAAATTACAGTTTTGCATTCATCTTAAGGGAAATGTCTTAAAATTGCTTGTGGTACTAGGCATAAAAATAATAACAATAATAGTAATATGGAAGAGTAGCAATGGTCAAATGAGAAAGTTAAGAATGTCTAAGTCCTATTGATTGCAGTGGAAACAACGCAAATCCATGTTTAATGATACCATGCCAATAAATGGGACTGAAGAATACACAGCTTAGGCGGACAGTGTTTAAACACTGCAGTAGTAGTAAGGAGATACAGATCTGTATGATACTCTAAAACACTTACAATGTCACAAATTTTGGGCCCAAAGTGTTGTTTAACATATTTAAACACTTCCTTTCTCGGTTGTAAAACAGTGAGCAAAGAAGGTATGCATCTCTGTGAAACGGTTCAGTAGAGGAAAAACAAAAACTATATTGTGTTTTAGGTTGATTTTAGCCAACCAACTTTTTAATGTGCAGAAGCAGAAGGCAACAGGGATGGCCATATACCCATTTAGTTATGCCTCCATGGGCGTACTGGGTTAAACCCTCATGCCAGCAGGACTGCTGACCAAAAGGTCGGTGGTTTGCATTCAGGGAGCGGGATGAGCTCCCATCTGTTAGCTCCAGCTTCCCATGTAGGGACATGAGAGAAGCCTCCCACAGGATGGTAAAATATCCGGGCATCCCCTGGGCAACGTCCTTGCAGATCGTCAATTCTCTCACACCAGAAGTGACTTGCAGTTTCTCAACATGAAAAAGTTACGTATCACATAACTAAATGGGTAACAAAAATATCACAGATTCAAAAGGAAAACAAACATATAAGACCTTCACTGCTCCTTGTGAGGCTTGTTGACTAGTGGGACCCCACTGTATTCATTTCTAAAACCTGTCTGGTCAGCTGGGTTACCAAGATGGGGAAGGAAGAGAGAATTCTGAGAGTTTTTTTTTTACATCTACGAGTAGCAGGAAAGCAGCAATCCAAGCAGTGATCACAAGGAAGGATTGAGAGCTGATCTCAAACCCATACATTTCATTGGGCAGTGAGTGTAGTTTAAACCTCACAATTCCTGTGCACTGAAGAGTATGTGTGCATGTGTGTGCTGGAAAGGGTTTATATACCTTTGATTAGAAGAACATATAAAAACAGCAGAAGTGAGCATCACAACCCACAAACCAGGTGATATAAAACTATAAACTTTTTGAAGTAGGGATCTGAACCCTGAGCTGAATATAGACTGTAGCAGGGAACAAACACAGAGAGCTAAGGAAAAAAAGAGATACCTTCCTTTTCTGAGCTTATCCTGCTTTTGGATGTCTGAAAACTCCCACAGTTTGTGTGATAGACAGCTGGCACTCCTACACACTTTTATCGTGTCAAGAAATTAAAAGTGACTAATGCTCACTTAAATTATTTACTCTAATCATCAAAACTTGTAATCAGAAATGTAAATCCTTATTCGAAGCTGAAGCAATTAGCAATGTACACACATCATTAAAACACTGCAATTGTTACTTATTTAGCTATGTACAAGTTTGCAGTGTTTCAAAGGCAACAAGTTCTTGGGCAGTTCTATGATACCATTGCCTCCTCTCATTGGAGCATTCATTTCTAAAATGTGGATCCAAAATAGCACAGCTGGTTTCCTTGTGGACAAATGGGCCACATAAAAGACTTCTATTACAGAATGGACATTAAAAATTAAAATTAATATTCAGTTTCTAGTACAACTATTAAAAGAGTATAGTACATTTATAGCCCATGCAGTCTTTCTAGAATACCAACCCTTCCAACCAACGTTGATCTCCTAAATTCAGTCCCCATAATAATTTTGAAGTGGTTTCAGTTCATATCATTCCAGGAAGAACTGAAAGTTGTTTTACCCCTTCATTTGTCTTTGAATTGGTGTGTATTTCAGGAAGAAGTAACATGAATATTTCTAAAGCATAGGAAGACTGATTATGAAAAACAATTTGGAATGAGACTGCATGAAAAAACAAACACCTCTGAATGTTTTAATGATGTCACAGAGCACATGATTCACACACCAACAGTCACTAAGATAGATCTTAACATGAAGAGTATAAGCTGAACAATAAGATTCAGTGAGGACAAAATGCTTGTTAATGATGGCTTAAAGATTGACTGCACTGCAAATTACTGCCTGCAATTTATTTCCTGCAGGAGATGTAATGTTTATGTACCATTCCCAGGTAGAAGCAAGACAGAATGGTTATTATAACTTATACATCAATGCTTGTATTTATTTATTCTGTATTTGTATACTGCTCTTCTCAGCCCTCAGGCGACTCAGCTTATGACCCGATGCAAAATGGAAACAGATAGGAAGCTCACAACTGTGATATGTCCCTATTTTGATGACTTAAACCAGTGGTTCTCAACCTGTGGATCCCCAGGAGTTTTGGCCTACAACTCCCAGAAATCCCAGCCAGCTTACCAGCTGTTAGGATTTCTGGGAGTTGAAGGCCAAAACATCTGGGGACCCACAGGTTGAGAACCACTGACTTAAACCATGACCAGTTCTAAATTGTGATTAGTACAAACCAAGACTTGGTATGATGTCAGTATCTTGAAAACTAAGACAACTATAACTAGGAATAGTCTCCAAATTAGAATTGGAAATCGGTTTGGAGACAAGTCCTGATTTGTATTAACTGACTTGGACATGACAGCATACCAAGAACTGAAGGAGACAGCTGCCATCAAAGAGAAATTGAAAGAGGGAATGAATAAGTGACTGGCATATTCTTAATTTTCCAAAGTAATGTTTAGAATGGGGGAAAGAAGTTGCAGTGCACAGGCCAGTAGGCAAAGTCCCAAAGAACTTTTTCCCCTTCCCTTGTGTATGACCAGGTTCAGCACTCTCCCAAATTTCTCGGTTCTACTGGCCACTTTGCTGCATTGAGGATCTTTCTGCACCTCCTTAAATGGATTGGACCGCAACACCTGGTATTTCTCCACTTCTAGTTTTGAAGAATAAAAATGTAATATTTGAATAAAGTGTAGGGCTGCTCAAAATAATTTGCTATCTGAAGTGAGCCAGCACATTACTGAAAGCACTTCACATTACATTTATCCACCTAAATTGATTCAAGGCTTAAAAAGTTGTTTATTGCTATCAGCAAGTAACAAGTATGCTTGGGATGCCCAACTATCTTTTGACAAGGAACCATCTTTGTTATACACCCACCAATTAAGCAAGAGTGGAATGTATGCTCTGTGTTTGATGGCTGTATGGTCATGTTCCAGAAGCATTCTCTCCTGCCGTTTCACATACATCTATAGCAGGCATCCTCAGGGGCTGTGAGGTCTGTTGGAAACTAGGAAAATTGGGTTTATTTATCTGTGGATTGTCCAGGGTGGGAGAAATAACTCTTGTCTGTTGGAGGTAGGTGTGAATGTTTCAATTGGTCACCTTGATTGGCTTTTAATGGCCTGACAGTTTTCAAGGTGTAGCTTCTTACTGCCTGGGGGAATCCTTTGTTGAGGTGATTAGCTGCCCGTGATTGTTTCTTGTCTGGAGTTCCCCTGTTTTTGAATCCTGTTCTTTATTTACTGTTATGATTGTAGAGTTTTTAAATACTGGTAGCCAGATTTTGTTCATTTTCATGGTTTCTTTCTTTCTGTTGAAATTGTCCACATACTTATGGATTTCAATGGCTTCTCTGTGTAGTCTGACATGGTAGTTGTTAGAGTGGTCCAGCATTTTTGTGTTCTCAAATAATATGCTGTGTCCAGGTTGGTTCATCAAGTGCTCTGCTATGGCTAACTTCTCTGATTGAAGTAGTCTGTAGTGCCTTTCATGTTCCTTGATTCATGTTTGGGCAATGCTGCTGCGTTTGGTGGTCCCTATGTAGACTTGTCCACAGCTGCATGGTATACGGTAGACTCCTGCAGAGGTGAGAGGATCCCTCTTGTCCTTTGCTGAACGTAGCATTTGTTGGATTTTCTTTGTGGGTCTGTAGATGGTTTGCAGGTTGTGTTTCTTCATCAGCTTCCCTATGCGGTCAGTGGTCCCCTTGATTTATGGCAAGAACACTTTTCCTTTGGGTGAATCTTTGTCCTTACTCTTTACTTTACTGTTCAACCAAATGTTTTTGTTTTGTTTTTGTTTTTTTTGTTGTATGCAGGCATGCATGCTGTCTATTTTCTCAGAGCTATTGCCTCAGCTTTATCAATTGACCATGCTGCTGTGGCTGCAGTCAGATACTATGCTTAGTGATGTGTGACTAGCATGCTCTTTCAGACAAGAATATGGTGGGAGAGAAGCCAAGGAGGTCTTGGGGACTGGTGTTTGCTCCTCTCAGCTAATGCCTGAGCAAAGTGACTCCTTTTGACTCATGACAGGGCCAGCCTAGCAGGTATTTGCTTGAGAAGCACAAAGCAGAAAGAAGCAACGTACATTTGAAAGTGCTTCTGTTAAATTATCATACACTTGTAACACCAATATGTCTGATGAAATATTTAAAATGCATCCCAGCAAGCTATTTGATTTGGCGCCTTGTTGTTTCTACAGAATTAGCATAATCATTGAGCACACAATGAAAAGATGAAGTAGGAACAGTTCTCTAGATATATAATCCACCTAATCCAACAGCTAGGAGTTAATAACAAGAGGCTAATTGCTAAATCCCAAATATAAATAGGAAATGTTCTCTTAAGGAGAATTCAGTAGCCATTGTTATTGCCTTGATTCTGCTGGGCAGACGGAGGCAGGAAAAAGAACCCCGATTTGTACAAAACTGAAATGATCTATATATTCAGACATTCAGAAAGATGAA